GAGACTGGGGGTGCTGTGCCTGGGGGTGCTACACCTGGGGGTGCTAAGCCTGGGGGTGCTACGCCTGGGGGTGCTGATCTTGGGGGTGCTACGCCTGGGGGTGCTAAGCCTGGGGGTGCTGAACCTGGGGGTGCCACGTCTGGAGCTGCTGAGCCTGGGGGTGCGGAGCCGGCGGCCGTTGGGCCTGCTCGTGTGGCGTCTAGCGGTGCTGGGCCTGGAGGTCCTCCAAGTGCTTCGTCTCGGCGGGAGCCACTCTCTTCACAGGAGCTGTGCGAGTGGTTTGCCCGGCGCTGGAGGCATTCTGCTGGAAATGGAGCTTCTTCGGATGCTGAGGGTGCTGGTGCCGCCGGTCCCGGAGGTGCTCGTAAATGGGAGTGCTGGAGCTGCTGGATCTGCGGGTACGACTGGAGCTGGAGCTGCTAAGGGTGTTGGCGCTGAGGCTACTGCTGTCAGTCCTGGTGGCGGTCCTGCTGCGGGTGCTGCTGGTGCTGCTGGAGGTCCTACAGCTGGAGGTGCTGTTGGCGCTGGTGCTGCCGCTGGGGGTGCTGGTGCTGTCCCTGCTGTGTCTGGAGTCGCCGCGCGGCCTCGGCCGTACTTCGTTCCGCTCCTTCAGCAGGTTCTTGGTCTCCCGCCCTCTACTAGTCCTCCTCCTCCCTTAGAGTGTCCCCTGCCTGACCCGTCACAGCTACAGTTACTGCCGGCTTCCCCACCACCTGCTCCGTCTCCCTACACTGGTCCTACTGGGGGTCTTGCTGAGCGTCGTGAGCCTGCGTCTCGCCCTGCGTCGTCTGTTCGTGCTGCTCGCACTAGTGGTCGCGGTTCGCGTCAGCGTCCTCCTCCTGTCCTTGGCACGCACCGGATGTCTCTGCGTCCGTCCACTGCTCCTCTGCGTGCCCTTTTGCCTTCTCCTCCTGAGTCTTCTCTTCCTGCTTTTGCCGACCCGGAGTCGAACTCTCTTCGTGCTGCCAGTCCTACTGTCACGCGTCTCCTTGCTACTGTCTTTACTCACCCTTCTTTTGAGTCCACTTCTGCGTCTGCCCTAGTTGCTGAACTCGTCGACTTGCTGCTCGTTGTCGTCTAGACTACGCTGCTAGTCTTGTCGATGAGTCTGAGTCTGTCTGTCTTCTGTCCGTCAGGGGTGAGTGTGCCCTTGGCACGGACGTCCTTGAGGACATGCAGGAAGAGTTCTAGTGTCTGGCTGCTACTTCACCTCATCTCGTGTCCGTACTACTTACCCCTCAGGGAGACCCGGATGCACTTGACATCCCGACTCCGCGCTCTTACGCGGAGGCGATAGAGGGTCCCTACTCCTCTCAGTGGCAGGTAGCTATGGATGCAGAGATGGCTCCCTGGAAGTCCACAGGCACCTACGTTGACGCGGTTCCCCCACCCGGGGCGAACATCGTCAGTGGCATGTGGATCTTCAGGGTGAAGCGGCCACCAGGTTCTCCACCTGTCTTCAAGGCGCGGTACGTGGCTCGTGGCTTAAGTCAGCGGCAGGGAGTTGACTACTTTCAGACCTTCTCTCCCACCCCAAAGATGACCACTCTTCGGGTGCTGTTGCACATAGCCGCTCAGCGCGACTAGGAGCTTCACTCTCTTGACTTCAGCACTGCTTTCTTGCAGGGTAGCCTGCACGAGGAGATCTGGCTTCGCCGCCCACCTGGCTTCACTGTGACTTTTCCTCCTGGCACCCAGTGGAGCCTCCGGCGGCCAGTCTACAGTCTCCGCCAGGCACCGCGTGAGTGGCACGACACACTGAGGACTACGCTTGCGGCTCTTGGGTTTGCTCCCTTTACTGCCGACCCGTCGCTGTTTCTGCGCACCGACACCTCTTTGCCGCCATTCTACATCTTTGTGTACGTCGACGACTTGGTCTTTGCCACTGCTGACACTGCTGGACTCGCCCACGTGAAGTCCGAGCTGCAGAAGAGACACACATGCACAGACGTGGGTGAACTGCGCAACTACCTTGGCTTGCAGATCACCCGGGACAGAGCACGCCGCACCATTACCCTGACTCAGTCACACATGGTGCAGCAGGTTCTTCAGCGCTTTGGCTTCACGTACTCCTCGCCTCAGGCCACCCCTCTGCCTACTCGCCACTCGCTCTCAGCTCTGCCTTCGGATGAGTCCGTAGAGTCGAGTGGCCCGTACCCAGAGCTTGTTGGCTGCCTCATGTACCTGATGACCTGCACACGACCTGACCTTGCATACCCTCTTAGCATTATTGCACGCTATGTTGCTCCTGGGAGACACAGACCAGAGCACATGGCTGCAGCGAAGAGGGTATTGCGCTACTTGTGCAGTACGTCGGGCATGGGGCTAGTGCTTGGAGGGCGGAGTCCAGTGGTTCTCATTGGGCATGCAGACGCTTCTTGGGCTGACGACCAGGCTACCCAGCGGTCGTCACAGGGTTACACCTTCAGCCTTGGTTCCGGCTCTGTTTCGTGGCGGGCTACTCGCTCGTCTTCTGTTCTCGGCTCCAACTGTGAGGCTGAGATCTACGCAGGGGCCATGGCTGCACAGGAGCTTCGCTGGATCACCTACCTGCTGACCGACCTCGGAGAGCCGCCTCGTTCTCCTCCAGTGCTGTACGTAGACAACAAGGCCATGCTGGCCTTGTGTCGGGATCAGCGCCTGGAGCACAGAACGAAGCACATTGCTCTCCGCTACTTGCTTGCTCGTGAGCTGCAGCAGCGTGGTCAATTGCGACTTGCGTACGTGGCCTCTGAGGCCAACACTGCTGATATCTTCACTAAGGCACTTGCGCCTTGTGATCATCAACGCTTCTGTACTCAGCTTGGTCTTGTGCCTGTCTTGCCTCACTTGCTCACTTCTTGACCTTGCTTGTACTGTCACATATATATAGTCCTGCTCTTGCTTGTTTAGCCTTTTATATATATATGTGCTCCTGCATGTGAACTGGCCTTCTGGCCTTGAACTTGTGCTCGGAATGTGTGGTGACTTTGTGATCCACCCTGAGCTTTGCTTTGTTCTGCTTGACTGGTCTTGTGACCCCTTGTTCTCCCCCACTTTGCCTATGGGGGTGTGTCAAATCATAATGTTCTGTAGGGTGTAGTGGGGTAGCCTATATGGGGTACACATTTCTAGGGTTGCATATTTGTACCACATACCATTCCTTAGTGCACTCATTCTCGTTTCAATTTTCACAGCGGTGCGTGCGAGCTAGCTAGTGCTATGCTGGAAGCGAGGCTCGGGCTAGTCCTGAAGCGTAGGCCGATACGGCCAGGCCAGCAGTGCGAGGTTTGGTGAAACAGTGCGCGCGAAGTCGGCGAAGCCCTGTTAGCAGTAACGGGCGAACAACGGCTGCTGCTGTACGCGATGTTGCAGGGTGCACTAAGGAATATCGAGAAAATTCCTTACAAACGAGCATAACCTACCTCGCCAGCACATCGCCCAATTCGCAAGCATGCATTTGCGGCTCGGTAATGTTTGAACTTTCCAACCACTTTGTCCTCTTGCTCGCGCTACTATGAGTACAACACACAAACAAATTGAAAGTTGAAGTTGGAATTTTGATTATGAAAAGATGTCCCACGCACCAATGACGTTGCAGGGGTTCCGGACGGTCCGAAATGCTGGCCGGACGGTGTCAGTAGCGTAGAATGGATGATGAACTGACAGAAAAGTGTCAGACTTCGTACGTACGATCGCGACGTCGCGAGGGGTCTTGCGAACCTTTTGACGAAATTTAGTAACCCTACAAAAGTCCGGACGGAAGCAAAAAAGTTACGCGCCCTTAGGTGGTAATTCACACGCACGCACGCATGCACACTAGAGTGGGTCTTACCGTATCACCCCGGATATAAGAGCAGGCCAATGTTAAGCGCATGTGCTTATATCTGGAGCAATGCGCTTATGGCCGATCCTCAATTATAGCACACCCCTTATAAAACCCTGATTTATTATAAGCGCATGTATAAACATATTACAAAAAAACCGGATTAAAACAGTAACGACTTCCCGTTTTGCAGCGAGTCCACATCCACTTCTACTCTGTTCGACTCCTTCGAGGGCGGGCTCGCTTAGGAAAAGCGCAACGGCGCGAAGTTGACTTGACAGGGGGCTTGGGAACAACTGCTGTCTGTGCGCTGCGAGCGAGCGACTGCAGGCCATTGATCGTACACTGGGGCAAGCCTGTGCGATGCGAACGAGCGACTGCAAACTATTGGTTCGTACAGTGGGCTGGGGCAAGCATGACACATTCCTAAGGGAAATTGATGTGTCCTTGCCATTGTGCGCCGGCAGAGAATCGCCCTCGCGCGATTTTGATTCACAACGCTCCACACATTTCGATTTGAATGAAATTTTGAAGACTCAGATGCACAGTTTGGTGCGTTTATAACATATTTCTGTGTTTGTCATTATATAATCGCATGCGCTTATAATTTTGACTCATTTATAAGCGCACCCCCCTAAAAAACACTGTTTTATTATAAGCGCAGATGCGCTCATATCCGGGGTATTACGGTACGGTAGGTGGTAATTCATTGTGTAACTAAAAACAACACTCTGAACATTTTTTTCCACCTGTTATGAGTTGTACTCAAGACGAGTGCGCATAATGCAATATCGCGGAAGTGATTACAACTACTGACCAAATCATGAAGCCTAGGACAGATATAGCGAAAGCTAGCTAGGCCAAGGTTGCGGGACCGCGCAAGGTCAGGTACAGGTTTGGGTTTGGAAAACCCGAAGGCGACGCGAGAGACGTTCAGAAGGCGAGGTCGTCGGACTGAGCCTGATTTCCGAAAGTTGGAAATGTACGCGCCTGAGTAAGGCAAAATTCCTTACACCACCCATTCTATGGCAATTCCAACTAAAAGTTCTGAGAATATATTCAACTGAATTTCAACATTGCACATCAAACAAATGTACAAACTACACTACGCAGCAGATTAAGGATCAGCAAATGAGCTCCGAGATAATCTATCGGTTTGACAGTGGTTGGCCCTGGTTGACCAGAAAAGCCGCACCTATCGGGCACGCGGCCCTGTCAAGGTTTGGTTCTGTGTGCCCGTGTCGCCATACCCGTCCATCAACGTCGTCTGCTCCTCACCCAGGTTTGACCAGTTTGACCCGGGTTGACCGGACGAAGAATCCCCCATGGGGTTCCACAGAGTGGTCATACTAGACGGTGCCCCTGTGAGCCCAGTCTCAGGAGATCTCCCCCCTGGGCTGAACCCTGCTGCTGCTGAAGCTCGCTGGTTACCAGCAGGTGCGTTGTAACCATTGGCGCCACTAGGGATAGCTCCTGCAGGCCCCACACTACCAGCAGCACCAGCACCTGCACCTGCACCTGCTGCTGCTGCACTGCCAGCATGGTGGGGAAGTGAGCTGTCAGCAGCAGCGCCTCCCCCAGGTAGCGCCCGGAGATGGTCCCTGATGCTGCGCAGCGCAGATACGACCTGCTCCATGTCGGGACGAAGCGAGGGGTGCTCTGCCGTGCACCACAGCGCCACCCGCAGGAACGTGCCGAACGTCTCTTCCAACCCCTCCACCATCTCCCCCGCACTCATTTCCCCACCCGCAGCAGCGGCAGCAGCAGCACCGGCAGCGGCAGCAGCACCAGTAGAGCTAGTTTTTGCAACAGCGGCAGAAGCAGCTGGAGCAGCAGCAGCGGAGGCAGCAGCAGGAGCAGCAGCAGCAGTGGGATCCCCCCGGGCGCGGAGGAAGTGGGAGAGTTTGGGGTCGACAGCAGCGGAGAGGCCTTGGGGGCCGAAGGCGAGGTGCAGCACGACCTGGCTGAGCGGCACTCCCTGAATGACGGGCGGCTGCCCCGTGGCCAGCTGCAGCAGCACCACCCCGAAGCTGAACACGTCACTGCGCTCCGTCAGCACCTCCGACACCGCAAAGTGTGGGTCGATGTAGCCCTGACAAAGGTGGGAAGAAGAAGAAGAAGAAGAAGAAAAAGAAAAAGAAAAAAGGCCACAGTTAGACTCACGAAATGGAAGAGGGTCTGTTTTGGGAAAAAAAAAGTTATTAGAAAAAAAGAAAAAAAAAAAAAAAAAAAAAAAAAAACGAAACCCCACAGTTCATTGAGCATGTGTGCAATCATCTCACCTTGCTGCCGATGATTTCCTCCTGCACCAGCTCTCCCTTTTCTGGCAGCGACTTGGAAATGCCAAAGTCCGCCACCTTGGCTTCCAGCGATGCTGTCAGCAGAATGTTGGCCGGCTGGGAAGGAGGGAGAGAGAGGGGGAGAAAAAAGACAAAAGAAAGAAATTATCGTACAGGGAACGGTGGAAATACGATAACAGAAGAAAGGAATGGAGGTACATGCACGCTGTACAGCAATGGCTGCAAACCTTGATGATGAAAACAAGCAAATAAGCTTTGACACATTGCAAAAAAATGGTTACAAGTGGTTGGTTACACACGGCTTCCTGACATCGCCAAAACTCCAACACGCAGACGGTTATTATTGAAGACATGTAGATAACAGAGAATACTGTATGGCAGCACACCTTGATATCGCGGTGGATGATGCCGGGCCTCATCTCCTTGTGCAAGTAGTGCAGCGCACTAGCGGCATCAAGAGCAATCCGCATCCTCTCCTTCCATGATAAAACGCGCCCCGTCTTTCCTGTGAACGTAAGTAAAGCAAGTAGGTGGCACAACACACGATCGGAAGTCAATGAGGGGTTTTGAGTGTAATGAAAAAAACAGTAAAATAATATCCGTGGCAAAACGATGAGCACACGAGTTTTGTTACGGGTAACAGGCAGAATACCAGAACGCATGCACTTGGTAACCCACCAATGCCAAGCACAAACTACACATACGATCGGATACACAGCTTTGATTGAGGCATCCCGTGCACCCCCCTTCGTGAATTAAAAGCTGCCTCCCACCTCCTTCTTCCCCTTCCCAAGAAGACGGAACAGAAAATTGTTTTCAAGGAGGGTCAAGACAGAATGTGAACTCAAACTCAAGGAGGGTCAAGACAGAATGTGAACTCAAACTCAAGGAGGGTCAAGACAGAATGTGAACTCAAACTCAAGGAGGGTCAAGACAGAATGTGAACTCAAACTCAAGGAGGGTCAAGACAGAATGTGAACTCAAACTCAAGGAGGGTCAAGACAGAATGTGAACTCAAACTCAAGGAGGGTCAAGACAGAATGTGAACTCAAACTCAAGGAGGGTCAAGACAGAATGTGAACTCAAACTCAAGGAGGGTCAAGACAGAATGTGAACTCAAACTCAAGGAGGGTCAAGACAGAATGTGAACTCAAACTCAAGGAGGGTCAAGACAGAATGTGAACTCAAACTCAAGGAGGGTCAAGACAGAATGTGAACTCAAACTCAAGGAGGGTCAAGACAGAATGTGAACTCAAACTCAAGGAGGGTCAAGACAGAATGTGAACTCAAACTCAAGGAGGGTCAAGACAGAATGTGAACTCAAACTCAAGGAGGGTCAAGACAGAATGTGAACTCAAACTCAAGGAGGGTCAAGACAGAATGTGAACTCAAACTCAAGGAGGGTCAAGACAGAATGTGAACTCAAACTCAAGGAGGGTCAAGACAGAATGTGAACTCAAACTCAAGGAGGGTCAAGACAGAATGTGAACTCAAACTCAAGGAGGGTCAAGACAGAATGTGAACTCAAACTCAAGGAGGGTCAAGACAGAATGTGAACTCAAACTCAAGGAGGGTCAAGACAGAATGTTTGATCCCTAAGTGAAGTCAAACCTTTGCTCCAGGCGTTGAGAGCACCCCCCTCCATGAACTCAAACACCAGCAGCTGCTCGTCCCTCTCCACACAGAAGCACACCCTTTATCCACACACATCCGCAACCAATCGCTCCCAACCGCACACAAACGTACTACAGCCAACGTGAACCCACCTTTGATCCAGGCGTCCAGCGCGCCCCCCTCCATGAACTCGAACACCAGCAGCTGCTCGTCCCTCTCCACACAGAAGCACACCCTTGCTCCACGCATTCAACCGCACCCAACCGCACTCAATCCACTGTCAACCTACCTTTGATCCAGGCGTCCAGCGCCCCCCCCTCCATGAATTCGAACACGAGCAGCTGCTCGTCCTTCTCCACACAGAAGCCGGTGAGCTTCACGAGGTTGCCGTGCGACACCGCCGTCAGCATCTCGATCTCGTTCTTGAAATCCACCCCGTCGTGCCGCCGCTTCTCATTCGCCTTCTTGATCGCCACCGGCTCACCGTTCAGCACTCCCCGATACACCTGGGAGAGGAATGGGGAGAAAAAAATTGTGGACACGCTTTTTGACCCCGATAAAGAAAAAAAAAAACAGCACCAGATTTTTCCGATCAAATTCCTTGTCAGCATCTCGATCTCGTTCTTGAAATCCACCCCGTCGTGCCGCCGCTTCTCATTCGCCTTCTTGATCGCCACCGGCTCACCGTTCAGCACTCCCCGATACACCTGGGAGAGGAATGGGGAGAAAAAAATTGTGGACACGCCTTTTGACCCCGATAAAGAAAAAAAAAACAGCACCAGATTTTTCCGATCAAATTTCTCTAAAATAAAAACCACAACTTTTCCCTCTCACACCTACCGTTCCGAATCCTCCCTCTCCCAGAACCGCCGAGTCATCAAAGCCATGAGTCGCCTCTGCTAGTTGCCACAGGGAGTAGCGCCGCGCATGCTGCAGGTTGATGCCCTCCAGTGCCTCGTAATCCGCATTGCTCCACCCTGGGGGGGGGGAGGGCAGGGAGGATTGGGGAAGAGGGACGAAGGAGGAATGAAGGCTCGAGAGCTTCTGGAGGGATGGAGGGGGAAAGGTCAACGAGCGTGTTGTAGGGTGATGCCCTCCAGTGCCTCGTAGTCCGTATTGCTCCACCCTGGGAGGGGAGAGCGGGGAGGGACGGGGGGGAATGAACGGGTGGCAAAGCAAGGGGAAAGGTCAAGGGGCGTGCTGTAGGGTAATGCCCTCCAGTGCCTCCTAGTCCGCATTGCTCCACCCAGGGTGGTTGGGGCGAGGGATTAAGGAGGGCAATGAATGGGGGAGAGGGGTGAAGGAGGGGTGGGCGATGAACAGGGGCGAGGGATGAAGGAGGGGTGGGAGGGAAGAATGGGGGGAGACGCTAACGAGCGTGCAGCAGGGTGGTGCCCTCCAGAGCTTTGTAGTCCGCATAGTTTTAGGAAACTAGATTCACCAATTGCTTCCACATTCCCTCGCTGCAAACCCTTGACACAACTATGAGCCTCTACATCGTCCCCACCCTTCACTAACACTTTCTCTCTCCTCCTCTCACCTTTCTCTTCGCCCTTACCTCCTTTCTCTCACCTCTCTTCTCCCAATCACCTATCTCTCTTTTCCCTCTCATTCCCCTTTCTCCCCCTCACCTCGCCTCTCCCAGGGGCGCATGAGCAGAGCCACAATGAGGGCGATGTCAACAGGAGCACCTATTGAGAGACGACCCAAAACCACCCACCTCATTTCTCCTGCACACCTCGCTCCTCCCTCCCACCTCGTTTCTCCTGCACACCTCGCCGCGCCCAGGGGCGCATGAGCAGAGCCACAATGAGGGCGATGGCAACAGCAGTGGCCTTTGAGTCTTGACTCAAGAACCACTCGGCAGCAGTGTTGAATCAACCGCTCACCTCGCTTCTCCCACTCATCTTGCTCCTCCCCCTCACCTCGTCTCGCCCAGGGGCGCATGAGCAGAGCCACAATGAGGGCAATGGCAACGGCAGCGGAGCACACAGAGATGGCCACGATGGCACCAGTGCTCAGCCCAGACGACGATTGCTGCGCTGGAGGATTGTAGGCTGTGTGTGGTTGGTTGGGTTGGGAAGAGCGCGCACGGAAAAGAAGGAAGGGATGCAAAGAGGAGTGGAAGGAAAGAGAGGGTTACAAGGAGAGGAAGAGAGGGATACAAGGAGAGGAAGAGAGGTAGACAAGGAGGAGACGCCCGCGTCGGTGCCAGTGCTCAGCCCAGACGAGGCCTGCTGCGATGGTTGTGATGGGGATTGTAGGTTGCAACTGGAAGGAGAGGAGGGAAGGGAAAAGGAAACACAGATCAAGGGTGAGACAGAAGAGAGGAAAGAGGCGACTGAGAGGGCGACGATGGCGACAATGGTGCCTGTGCTCGGCCGCATTTATGGCCTGCTGCGATGGGGTTGCAGGCTGCGATGGGGTTGCAGGCTGCGATGGGGTTGTAGGCTGCGATGGGGTTGTAGGCTGCGACATTTCCATTGGAAGGAATCGCGAGTCAACGGAAAAATGGAAGAGATGAGACAGGAGTGAAAAAGGAGATGGCAGTGGGGTCGGTGTTGCACAGCGACAGCGCCTGCTTGATGCCCCTAGGGACAACCCCTGACCCCATAGAACAACAAATGCGACCCCCCCCCCAAGGCAACTCACGCGCGGGGCCGTGGAAGTGCACGGAGAGAATCGACCCGAATTCACTCAGATTCATCTGGTGCGTGGGGTCGGTGTTACGCAGCGAGAGCGCTTGCTTGATGCCCTTTAGTACAACCCCAGACCTCCAACCCTACAGAAGAGATGCAAACCCCCAGGACACTCACGCGCAGGGCCGTGGAAGTGCACAGAGAGAATGGAACCAAACTCGCTGAGGTTCATCTGCTGCGTGGGGTCGGTGTTACGCAGCGAGAGCGCCTGCTTGATGCCCTTTGGGAGGTCGCGCGGGTACCAGCTGTCGTCCCCGACCGGAGGGAAGAAGAGGATTGAGACGGTGGTGGTGGACTCGTGTGTGGTGTGGTCCGATGCAAAGGTGGAGGCGAGGGAGGGGAGAGATGAAGGGGACTTGATTGCTGAGATTAGCACCTGGAGGTGGGGAGGGGACGGGGAGGGGGAGGGGAAAGGGAGGGGAAGGGGCAAGGGTGGAACAGGGAGGAGAGGGGAAACAGGGGAAGGCCAGGGGGCTTAGGGAGGTGGCAAAAATTTGGGAAGGAGGAACAAAGAAAGGACGAAAGAGCTGATAACAGAAAAGGGCAAGTGAACATCAGAAAAACACTTGTGCATGGTGTGCGGTTGCGGTGCGCAATAACGATTCACATCACCCAACCGAAAGGGAGGAGACGACGGCATTCAGTAGCTGATCTGCGATATGCTGACATCCAGAAGATGCTCAGCTGCTGTCTTGTGAATTTGAGCCCAAGCTTTCTGCCGACCAGCTCCTGAAACAGACTCTCCTCAAGCGGATCCACAAGCGCACGACGACTCACAATAAGACCCAAGCTTACTGCAAGGCAGGAGAGACGCCATTGAGAAGCTGCAGTCTGGTAAGACCCAGAACCTCACATGCGATTTTGTGATATTGAGCCCAAATTTACCACCAACGAGCTCCTGAAACAGAATCTCCTCGAGCCGGTCCACAAGCGCTTGATTTAAAGTCCATCCAGCAATCTGGTGTCATTCAGAACTCACGTCCAGAACCTCACCTGCGACTTGGTGATATTGAGCCCAAACTTGCCGCCGACCAGCTCCTGAAACAGAATCTCCTCGAGCCGGTCCACAAGCGCTTGATTAAACACCACGTAGGACGACAGGTAGAGCGCCACGTCAGCGCGCAGTGGCGACACGCAGATGCAGAGGCTGGACTGCTGAAAGAGCGGCATGCTGGGGCTGTAGAGGTCGCCCTCACAGGCGAAGCCCTGGCAGAAGGAGGGTGCAGTGTACTGCGTGAGGTCGGCTGGTGGGGAGCAGGGGGCTTGCTTGTCGGGAGTGTAGGGCGAGCAGAGCGGGTTGCCGTATAGCCTGGGGGGAGGGGGGGTGGGGACGGAGGGGAGGGGATGGTGAGGAGAGGGAGAAGGAGTGTGCTTCAGAAGTTCAGAGCGGGTTTAGGCAGAACAGGGGCTGTAGAGGTGGCCCTGGCAGAAGGAGGGTGCAGTGTACTGGGTGGGGTCGGCTGGTGGGGAGCAGGCGGCTTGCTTTTCAGGAGTGTAAGGCGAGCAGAGAGGGTTGCCGTATAGCCTGGAGGGAGAGGAGGGGGAAGAGGTGGTGTGGGAGGGGAGGGGTGGCGGAAGGGGTAAAGAGAGGCAAAACCGGCGTGCGTCAGAACAGTTGGATTGGAGTGCCCGTAGAGTGATATCGATCGATATAAAAAATTGCGGGTAGAGAGACGACTTTTGAGGCGCCTCAAAAGTCAGAGCAGTTGGATTGGAGTGCCCGTAGAGTGATATCGGCAAAGGAGGCATGTGCAGGGTGACGTCATCATGGGAGGGCACTCACAGCAGCAGTGTGATATCAGCATGCTTGAGGGTGGGTAAAGGGCCAATTAGGAGGTTGTCATTGAGTCGACTCACCGCGACTCTTGAGCGAGGGGAGGCGGAGCGGAGTCATTAGACGTTACTCACTGCAGCGTGATGTCAGTAAGTGAGGGGAGAGCCACTCACTGCAGCGTGATGTCAGTAAGTGAGGGGAGAGCCACTCACTGCAGCGTGATGTCAGTAAGTGAGGGGAGAGCCACTCACTGCAGCGTGATGTCAGTAAGTGAGGGGAGAGCCACTCACTGCAGCGTGATGTCGGAGCGGTTGAGGCGGGGGAGAGGGCCAGTGAGGAGGTTGTCGTAAAAGGAGAGAGACACTGCCTTGCTGAGGCCTGACAGGTCTGGCAGCCTGCCCGTGAGGCGATTGCCTGAGAGGAAGCTGAAAGGGGGGGAGAGGAAGGTGCAGAGAGCAAGGAGTAGGAGACTGTGAGGAGGTTGTTGTAGAAGGAGAGAGACACGGCCTTGCTGAGGCCTGACAGGTCTGGTAGCCTGCCTGTGAGGCGATTGCCTGAGAGGAAGCTGGGGGGGTAGAGAGGGGTGAGGGCACAGAGGAACAAGAATGAGGAGCGGAGGAGGCCTTGTAAAGGAGAGCGACACGGCTCCACTCAAGCCTGCGAGGTCTGGTAGCCTGCCTGTGAGGTGATTGCCCGAGAGGAATCTGTGGGGGTGGGTGGGGAGGCAGGAAGGAGGGGGGAGAGGAGGGAACACAAACAGTGTCGGATTGTACAGCCATCAGAGACAACAGTTTCGGATTGTACAGTCATCAGAGACAACAGTTTCGGATTAAAAAGTAGGGAGGCAGGGAGGGAGGGCGTACTCGAGAGAGCGTGGTGACTTTGAGAGCGTGGCTCACAGGGATTGCAGGTTGGCTCACAGGGATTGCAGGTTGGCTCACAGGGATTGCAGGTTGGCTCACAGGGATTGCAGGTTGGCTCACAGGGATTGCAGGTTGGCTCACAGAAATAACAGGTTGGCTCACAGGGATTGCAGGTTGGCTCACAGGGATTGCAGGTTGGCTCACAGGGATTGCAGGTTGGCTCACAGGGATTGCAGGTTGGCTCACAGGGATTGCAGGTTGGCTCACAGGGATTGCAGGTTGGCTCACAGGGATTGCAGGTTGGCTCACAGGGATTGCAGGTTGGCTCACAGGGATTGCAGGTTGGCTGCCTGGTTGATCTCAGGAGGGACGGAATCCTGCAGTGCGTTGTTGGCAAGGTTGCTGGGAAGGGAGAGTTGAGGGGGAAGGGAGGGGGCGAGGGAGAGGAAAAAGGGGATGGAGGGAGGGGGTGTGGGAGAGGGAGAAATTGGAACCGCACAGAGCATGAGTCCCTCATCCCCCTTGCTGTGGAAACCTATGGCTGCCCCCTATGTGCTGGAAACCTATAGCACGAATCCCCCATGTGCTGCGGTCCCCATGTGCTGCGGTCCCCATGTGCTGCGGTCCCCATGTGCTGCGGTCCCCATGTGCTGCAGCCCGCTGCCTCGAGTGGAGCTGTCAGTGAAGTGAGAGGCGGAAATACAACCCCAGGTGACTTTTGAGTCGACTCAAAAGTCGCATACTCAAAAGTCGCACACTCAAAAGTCGCACACTCAAAAGTCGCACACTCAAAAGTCGCACACTCAAAAGTCGCACACTCAAAAGTCGCACACTCAAAAGTCGCACACTCAAAAGTCGCACACTCAAAAGTCGCACACTCAAAAGTCGCACTCACAGGTTGACGAGGTTGGGGCTGTCAGTGAAGTGAGAGGCGGAAATATAACCCCAGAAATTGTTCTGACTCAGATCCCTGGAAGGAGCAGTGGGGGAGAGAGGAACAAAGGGGGTAGATCATGGGTTATGGTTGTTTGTTCTTCTTTCCAGTTTTTGGTGAGGACAAAGGTGGTGAGGGGGATAAGGGGGGGGGGGGAGGGGGGGTTGGAGGAAGGGTGAATTGAAGGGAGGAAGGAACAAGAGGGGGTGGAGAGAGAATGGCTGGGAGAAGGAAGAATGAATGCAAGAGAGCACGGAAAAACGGTGGGGACAAAGTATGGAGGAAGGGAGGGAAAATGAGAAGAATGGGAAGTGAAGGAGGAAGAGGATAAGGTTGGGAGGAACGAGAGAACGGACAGGGAAAAGGGAGGCTGGGGTTGGGAGAAGAAAGGGGGAAAGAAGTGGGAACCCTTGTTCTGGTGTAGCAGAGCAAACGGCAGCAGGGGAAGGGATTTCTTGAGTCGACTCAAAAGTCACCTCGGGTTGCAGAGGAAATGGCAGGAAAAAAAATCGTAGTTCTGTGCAGCAGCAGCAGCAGCAGCAGCAGCAGCAGCAGCAGCAGCAGCAAGGGCGCCTTGGGGATTGAGGTTTGACTTTCGGTGGGACGGGCAGAACTTTTGAGGCGCCTCAAAAGTCGTCGCAGGAAAAGGGATGGTAGTTCTGTGCAGCAGCAAGGGCGCCTTGGGGTTTCTTTCGGGTTTGACTTTGGGTAGGGCGGGCAGTAAGGGTGGCAAAGGGAGTAAGGGCAGAAGCGCGGTAAGCAGGGAAGTCACAGATAGGCTGGCAGAGGGACTCACAGATTGGCGAGGGACTTAGACTGGGGGAAGGAGATCAGCGTCTGTTGTGGAATGCTGCAGTTGCTGGCGAGGCTGCATGCATGGTAGATGGGTGGTGGATGCATGGTGGGGTGGATGCATGGTGGATGCATGGTGGATGCATGGTGGATGCATGGTGGATGCATGGTGGATGCACGGGGGATGCATGGTGGATGCATGGTGGATGCACGGGGGATGCATGGTGGATGCATGGTGGATGCATGGTGGATGCATGGTGGATGCATGGTGGATGCATGGTGGATGCATGGAGGACGCATGGTGGATGCATGGTGGATGCATGGTGGATGCATGGTGGATGCATGTGGATGCATGGTGGATGCATGGTGGATGCATGGAGGACGCATGGTGGATGCATGTGGATACATGGTGGATGCATGGTGGATGCATGGGGTATGATGTGTGCATGGTGGATGGGGAATGGAGGGATGAAAATAAATGCATAGTGGATGCATGGGGTGAGTGCATGGTGGATGCACGGGGTGAGTGCATGGTGGATGTATGGGTATGACGAGTGCACGGGCATGGGGTTGAGGAGAGTGTTGGACCCGTAGCTTACAAGGAATGTTGACTTCTGAACAAACGCTCTACACAAAAACCAGAGTCTTTTTTATCTCCGTTTGTGTAAAAGCAAGGACTTGCGTGAGACCTTGAGCATCCGTCACTTTTGAGAATTCTCAAATAAGACCTTGAGCATCCGTTAAGTTAAAGTTGGAATATGGGCAAACGTTTCCAAAAGGAGGTGTGGGCGGGAAAGTGGAAAGGAGGTGTGGAAAGGAGGTGTGGGGGGACTCACAAGTCCTTCAGATTTGGAAGATTCCAAACCAAGGGCATAGGCTCGGTGATGGTGTTGCCACTCCAATAACTGTGCCGTGAGCCGTGCGGCAACGCGAATGAGTGGGAGAAAGACAGGGCAACAGGGTGAATGTCTTTGAGCGCCTCAGAAATAAGAAGGTAAATGAGTGATTGTATAAGCGCAGAGAATGCATGCTGCTGTTGCAATATGCTGCTGCTGTTACTGTCTCAAAACTCGACTGTGCCATGAGCCGTGGGGTGGGGCGACACAATATGAGTAGGGTGAGGTGAACCAAAGTGCAACAAGGTAGGTGAGGTATTTCAACAGCGGAAAAGAGTGTGTCTGTTACTAACAGAGCAAGAAGCCAGCCAGCTCTGTGAGAGCACCGAGAGATGGCAGGACAAAAAAAAGGCTGGGCATTAGAGTGCACAGCACAGCACATCACACCGTGCGATTGGTTGTTATTGATAAATAAGGTGTTTCCGGTTGACAACGAATGAGGCGGGCTGGTTTTTGAGGTGCCTCAAAAGACGAATGCACCACAGAGGACGAGAAGAGAAGGGCTGGGCTGTGGGGCACGCACAAAGCTCATGACATGACAGTTGCATGCAGGCACGCACACTCAAACACGCACACTCAGGCACGCACACTCAGGCACGCACACTCAGGCACGCACACTCAGACACGCACACTCAGACACGCACACTCAGACACGCACACTCAGACACGCACACTCAGGCACGCACATAACACTGAGGGCCGATCCGTTGAGGGAGAGGGGAAACGGCTGAACAATTCGATTACCGTCCACGATTCTGGCAGCGGGGGGAAACACACAGAGGCACATGGAGATGCGTGGATTGACACACAGAGGCGCACACAGCAGGTGGTGGTAACTGAGATGCGTGGAATGGTGACATGTGAGTCGAGGGGAAATGGCTGAACGATTCGATTGCCGTCCACGATTCTGGCAGAGGGGAGGAAAGCAGGGCGGTGCACACAGTGCGGTTGGTGGGAAAAAATATGCGAAAGGAAAGGCACAGTTCATTCAGTGTGGCTGGTGGCAAAAAGAAGAGAACGAACGGGTGGAGGGGTTGTGAAGATGGAGATTGTGAAGAGGAAAGAAGACTGTGAAGAGGAAAGAAGACTGTGAAGAGGAAAGAAGACTGTGAAGAAGAAAGAAGACTGTGAAGAGGAAAGAAGACTGTGACGAGGAAAGAAGACTGTGAAGAGGAAAGAAGACTGTGAAGAGGAAAGAAGACTGTGAAGAGGAAAGAAGACTGTGAAGAGGAAAGAAGACTGTGAAGAGGAAAGAAGACTGAAGAGGAAAGAAGACTGTGACGAGGAAAGAAGACTGTGAAGAGGAAAGAAGACTGTGAAGAGGAAAGAAGACTGTGAAGAGGAAAGAAGACTGTGAAGAGGAAAGAAGACTGTGAAGAGGAAAGAAGACTGTGACGAGGAAAGAAGACTGTGAAGAGGAAAGAAGACTGTGAAGAGGAAAGAAGACTGTGAAGAGGAAAGAAGACTGAGAAGAGGAAAGAAGACTGTGAAGAGGAAAGAAGACTGTGAAGAGGAAAGAAGACTGTGAAGAGGAAAGAAGACTGTGAAGAGGAAAGAAGACTGTGAAGAGGAAAGAAGACTGTGACGAGGAAAGAAGACTGTGACGATTGTAAACTGGGCAAGCTTTTATAGTTGGCTCGAAAACGAAACAGATGCTGCATGCATGCTCAGCAAAAAGAAATACGAAAGAAAGGAAGGAAGGAAGAAAAATAAAAGAAAAAACCAGCAACAACAACAACTTGAAAACCTGTGAGTGCTATAGGCGGCAGAGGAACTGACAAATGCTGTAGGTTTGGCAAGGGAACTCACAAATGCTGTAGGCTTGGCAAGAAAACTCACAAATGCTGTAGGCTTGGCAAAGGAACTCACAAATGCTGTAGGCTTGGCAAGGGAACTCACAAATGCTGTAGGCTTGGCAATTGTGCAATTTCACCAGGGATGGATGAGAGGTGATTGCGACTCATGTGGCTGAGAGGGGAGGGGTGAGAGGGCCAGAAGAGGGGAAGGGGGGGAAGACGGGGTTTGAGGGAAGTTTCAGAACTTGATTTCAAAAGAATTGGAGGAGCGGTGATCGTAACTCATGTGAGATGTGGCTGATGGGGTGAGGGGGAGAGAGAGAGGATGGAGGGGAAGGAAGGAGGGGTTGCGAGGAGGAAGGAAGAAGGAAAAGCACACTGGGATGGGTATGGGGAAGTGGAGGGGTAAGCGGACGGATAATGGGATGCGTAAAAAGGAAGCGTCATTGAAATCGAGAAAGAAGAAAGGCGAGAGAGGGGAAACAAAGAGACAGAAGAATCGGTATACGCAACCTTTCACCCCAGCAACAACTCAAATGGGTTAGTCGGCTATGATGTAACACTCAAATCAACTGAAAGGTCGAGAGATCAATACTCACAGGTGCACTAAACTAGATGCCCCAGCAAACGTGGGCAGGGTGCCACTGAAGTGATTGTCTATAATGTCGATCTGAAACAGCTTCGGCAGCAGCCCAAACTGGTCCGGCAGAGGTCCGGAAAGCTGGTTCTGAGCCACCAGGAAGTAGACGAGTTGGGTCAGATTGCCTATGGAGGTGGGAACGGGGCCTGAGAGATTGCAGCCCTGCAGGTTGCTGCGGGAGAGAAGGGGGGAGGGGGGAGGGCACACAGGGGGTGAATGAGAGCCGGTTCGGAAACACCAGGAAGTAGACGAGTTGGGTCAGGTTGCGTATGGAGGTGGAAACGGGGCCTGAGAGATTTGATCCCTGCATGTTGCTGAGGGCGGGGAGGGAGGGGAAGGGGGGACACAGGGGGCGCCTGAGAGCTAGTTCTGCGAACCAGAAAAAATATGTGTGTTGTGGTGAGGTGACAAAGGTAACAACCAACCAACCAACCAGCGTGGTCCTTCCTTCCAGAGTGGGTCAAACGGGTGCCGGCAGCGAGAAGAGAACCCAGCAGAGCAGCACCCCCACGTTTTGCATTGATTCATCTGGAGGAGGAGGATTGGTTGAATGATTGCTCTTAAACCATTGGTTGAATGATTGCTCTTAAACCATTGGTTGAGACCTTCTTTCTGTTTTCATGCCTTTTGGTAGTCGATTTTGGGCATACAGTTTGTTGCGTCTGCTGCTGCTGCGCCTGTGTTCGCTACAAAGGTTAAAAGGCTACAGTTACACTTACAGCATGGTCAGTTGCACGAGGTTCCCAAGGTTTGTTGGTATGGAGCCCTGCAGGCCTGGGTTCTTGCCGAGATTGCTGGAAGGGGGTGGGGAGAGGTGGGGGGAGAGTAAGAGGAAAGTAGGAGTGAGAGTCAGTTGCACAAGGTTCCCAAGGTTCGTTGGTATGGAGCCCTGCAGGCCTGGGTTCTTGCCCAGGTTGCTGGTGAGGGGACGGGGGAGGGGGAAGGAGGGCGGGGAGGAAGAGAGACAATTATGAACGGCTGCTGCGCATAGGAGCCCTGAAGGCCTGGGTTCTTGCCCAGGCTGCTGTCGGGGGGGAGGGTTAGGGGTTGGGGGGGAATTGGTGGGTACGGGAGGGAGGGAAGGGGGAGGAAGGGAGGGAGGGTGGGGGATGAAGGGGACATTTATGAGGGGGGACAAGGGCGAGAGAGGGGGAGACGGGGAGGAGAGAGGGGGAGACGAGGAGGAGAGAGGGGGATAGTGGTCGGAAAGACACACGGCTGCGAAGCAAAGGAGGCCTGGAGTCCTGGGTTCATGCCCAGGCTGCTGTAGGGGTGCAGGTGGGCGGGGGGGGAAGAGTAGAAGAAGGAGAGAGAGGCGCAGGGGGGAAGGGGGAGAGGGGGCGGGGGGGAGGGCGAACGGAGGGAAAAGTAGGGATTGGAGTGGTATTTAAGAACAGCTAAAAAGAAAACGGGGAAGAGGCTGATGGGGAGGAGATTGCAGGGGAAGTGGGAGGAGAGAGAGAATCTGAGAAGAGGGTGTGTGGAAAGAAAGAACTCGAGAGGCGCGCAAGTGGAGAGAGAGGACTGGAGGGGGAGGTAAGTGGAGAGGGAGGAGTGGAGGGGCAGGTAAGTGGAGGGGGAGGAGTGGAGGGTGTCAAATGTTGTAGCCTGTAGTGAGGTTTGTCTTAGGGGGTACAGAAGTTAGGGTTTGTTATATGTACCCCAACCAACATCAATGGCATCATCATTCCTCATTTTGACATGGTATCAGCTAGGTTAGGATCCTGTGGGATCCCGTTCCTCCGTTCTCCGTTCGTCCCTCCCGAGCCTGATCCTACCTCTCGTTCGTACCGGTTCCGTTGTTACCGCGCCTAGTACCGAGCCTAGCGCCCTCTCCCCCGTCGCTTAGCGCCCTTTCTCCTCGTCGCCTAGCGCTCTTTCCCCCCCCCCCCCCCCCCGTCGCGTCGCGCCCTTTCCCCCCGTCGCCTAGCGCTCTTTCCCCCCGTCGCGTCGCGCCCGTTCCCCCCGTCACGTCGTGCCCGCCCTTTCCCCCCCGTCCCGTCGCCCTGTCCCGTCGATCGCTCTGCCCCGTCCCGTCGCCCTGCCCCGTCGCGTCGCCCTGCCCCGTCCCGTCACCCTGCCCCGTCGCGTCGCCCTGCCCCGTCCCGTCACCCTGCCCCATCGCGCCGCCTTGCCCCATCGCGTCGCCCTGTCCCGTCCCTACGCCCTGGCCCGTCGCCCTACCCTACGCCCTGGCCCGTCGCCCTACCCTACGCCCTGGCCCGTCGCCCTACCCTACGCCCTGGCCCGTCGCCCTACCCTACGCCCTGGCCCGTCGCCCTACCCTACGCCCTGGCCCGTCGCCCTACCCTACGCCCTAGCCCGTCGCCCTACCCTACGCCCTGGCCCGTCGCCCTAGCCCGCTCTTCCGCTGCGACTGAGTCCCCTTCCCACCTGAACCCTAATTTGCCTCTTCTCCCCGGTTGTTACTCGCCTGTTCGTTCGCGTTAGTTCTCACTATGGCGACTCCGCGGGTTCTTCGTTTCGACGCTGACGGTAGACCACTTGACATTTCCGTCTGGCTTCTTCGCGCTCGCCGTCTGTTAGAGAGTCAGGTCCAGGGGGGCGAGACCCTCTGGTCGCACGCTACTGGTGACCTCCCCGAGCCCCCCGAGCCTACAGCTTTAGGCTCTGCCCCTGACGACGCTGCTACGGCTCGCTTTGCCCGTCAGCGCGCTGACCGGACGGCTTGGACGTCGCGTGACGCTGCGGCCTGCATCGCACTCAGCAGCCTCCTCCCTGAGTCAGAGGAGGTCCACTTTACTCAGGTTCGCACCGCTGCTGCGTACCTCACTGCGATTAAGGTCCGCTACTCTACTCCCGCTACTGTCTCTCTTGGCCGTCTTTTCCTCCCGTTCCTGTTTCCTGATCTCGCCTCGTTTGAGCGCTCTGCTGACTTGATCGCTCACCTCCGCTCGCTCGACGCTAGTTACCGCGCTGCTTGCACTGAGGCACAGCTTGCACTGCTTCCTCCCCCCATGGCGATTACTGTCTATTTCATCGCCACTAGCCTCCCTGACCGCCTAGCCTCCGTTCGTGACGCGCTTCTGCTGAAACACCCTAGTGAGCTGACTATCGAGGTCCTTGAGTCTGCACTCAAGGACGTCGAGAGCAACCTTCGCTCGGTAGCTGCCGCCTCTGGTACTGTGTCCCCCCCACTCTTCCACGGGTGCACAGTCCCGCAGCTACCCACCTTCACTGCCTCTCTCGCCACTGCCGCTACTGACGCGACTGCGGCTGCTGTTACGACTGCGTCGCGGTCCCGCGGCAAGGGGGGCAAGAAAGGTAGTTCTGGTGGAGGTGGAGGTGGAGGTAGCGGAGGTAGTGGGGGTGCTGTTGCGACTGGCGGTGGTGGGAGTGCAGCGTCTGGAGAGACCCCTCGTGCAGCGGCTGGTGACTCCACTGCGCCTGCTGGTGGCGGCGACCCCCGAGCTCGTCAGTCGCCTCCTGTACTGCCGACCCCGCTAGGTGGAGCAGCGGCGTAGTACCAGGCTCAGCGTCAGCAGCACCTTCAGCAGCAGCAGCAGCCCCTTTCCTCCCGCCAGCCTCAGCAGCAGCAGCGTCAGCAGCTGGCTCCGGGGTCGGGGCTGCGTCAGCCCCAGCGCGGTGCTTCTTACCCTCCCTGCACCTATCAGGTTCTGACAGGTCCTCGTCGGGGCCACCCTTGTGGCCGCTTTCACCCCCCTGGTCAGTGCTTTGCTCAGCTCACTGACACGGTCCGGTTGGCCTACGGGGTTGGCGGTCCTGCTCTTGACTGGCTTCCTCTGGTTCAGCGCTACGGCTCCGCTCTGTGGGGCATGTCTGCTGAGCAGTTAGTTGATCTGATTGGTGCTCCTCATGCTATGTATGCTGATGTTGACTCTAGTGTTACTGACTCTGTTTACTCTGGTGTTGTTAGCTTAGGTGCTAGTCTTGCTCAGTTGCCTGTTGCTAGTGTAGGTTCTTGTGTAGACTCTAGACCAGCGACTACCTTAGAGGACGCTTCGCTGTCGTTCACGCTGGACTCTGGAGCCTCACACTGCTTCTTCCGGGACAGCACGACACTTACACCACTTCCTGCGCCTGTTTCTGTGGCTTTGGCTGATCCCACTACGGGACCAGTCACTGCACGTCACACTACCACTTTACCGTGTCCTGCTGCTCCCTCCGGGTCTCTCACTGGGTTTCACGTCTCCTCGTTCTCCCGGAACTTGGTGGGCGTGCGACCCCTCGTGAGTCAGCACGTGGGTGTGTGGTTTGAGCCTTCTGGAGAGACTGCAATGTGTGTTGACGGAGACTCTTACCAGCCTCTTGCTACCTTTACTGCTGAGCCGGGCTCAGGTCTCTACACTCTTCGCACTGGCCCGCGTGCGCCGCAGCAGCAGCCGCAGCAGCAGCAGCAGCCGCAGCCGCAGCCGCAGCAGCAGCAGCAGCAGCAGCAGCTGCACCAGCGGTCGCACCAGCAGCCGCCCCTACTGCCACTGCCCCCGGTTCCCCCCCCCGTTCGGGTCCCCGCGTCTCACCAGGTTGCTTCGTCCCCCCAAGTGTCTGTGTCGTGTCAGGTTCCTACGTCTGCTCCAGTCGCTGCGTCGTGCTCCTGCCGGTCGCTTGCCCACCCCACCGTTCTGTGGCACCACCGGATGGGGCACCCGTCCCTTCCTCGTCTGCGCGCTATGTCTAGTCAGCGTCTTGTCCTAGGCCTCCCACGTGTCTTGCCGTCGCTGCCGCCTTCGCCTGCGCCGCCGTGTCGTCCCTGCGCTGAGGGTAGGCTGCGCGCCACCCCTCACTCCTCCTCCCTTCGTCCGGCCACCGAGCCTTTTGAGACGCTTCACTTGGACGTCTGGGGCCCAGCCCCTCGTCTAGGCCCTGAGCGTGAGCGTTACTTTCTGGTGGTCGTTGACGACTTCTCCCGCTACACCACAGTGTTCCCTCTGGCGAAGAAGTCTGAGGTGACTTCTACGCTGATCAGGTGGTTGCTCACCACCGAGGACACTCGTGGTCGTCGTGTCAGCTGTCTCCACTCCGACCGTGGGGGTGAGTTTCGCTCCGGCATTCTCGCTGGATTCTGTCGCGAGCAGGGCATTCGTCAGTCCTGGACGCTTCCAGAGTCCCCACAGCAGAATGGGGTTGCTGAGCGCCGCATAGGCCTGGTCATGGAGATCGCCCGCACCTCCCTGACTCACGCCTGTGCCCCCCATTTTCTGTGGCCCTACGCGGTCAGGTATGCCGCGCACCAGCTGAACCTCTGGCCACGTGTCTCTCGACCAGAGGTTTCACCGACCAGTCTTTGGACAGGGTCCCCTGGTGTTGCGTCGCGGTTTCGTGTCTGGGGGTGCTTGGCTCTTGTCCGCGACACCTCCGCGGACAAGCTCTCGCCTCGTGCCGTCCCCTGTGTCTTCCTTGGTTTCCCTGAGGACTCCTCTGACTTCACCTTTTACCACCCTCCCTCTCACCGGTTCTTTGACTCCCGTGACATCCGTTTCGAGGAGTCCACTCCGTACTACGTCAGGTACCCCAGTCGAGGTCTCCAGGTTCCTCCTCCCCCCCTCTTCCTGATTGCCGCTCCCCCTCCTGTTCCCCCGGTACAGCCTCCCCCCCCTGGTCCAGCCCCGTCGGGTGTGTCCCAGGCTACACCTCCTCCTTCGGTAGCCTCTCCGGTACAGCCTCCCTCCCCACAGTCCTCCTCGCAGCGTGCCGCAGGTGCTAGCTCTCGAGAGGTTGGTGCTGCGCCTGTTCCTGTACCGGTTTCTGGTTCTGGGGGTGGTGGAGTTGGAGCTGGAGTTGGAGCTGGAGTTGGAGCTGGAGTTGGAGCTGGAGTTGGCACTGGAGTTTCTGGTTCTGGGGGTGCAGGGGTTGGAGCTGGAATTGGAGCTGGAGTTTCTGGTTCTGGAGTTGGAGCTGACCCGGTGGGTGCAGAGGACTCTTGTCGTCCGGGAGCTGGTACTGGTCGCGCGGACACTGGGGGTGAGAGTGCGCCTCCTTCGGGTTCTGGTGAGCCTGGGTCTGGAGCTGGTGCTAGTGCTGCCTCTGGGGGTGGTGCGCCTGGTTCTTCGGGGGTGGACTCTGGAGCTACCGTTGCTTCGGACACTACTCCGCCCCCCCACCCCTAACCGACTAGGCACCAGGCTCGTGTTTGCCGTGCCCGTGACGAGCAGCTGGCGTTGGAGAGAGAGGAGAGGGAGTTACAGCGGCTGGAGGAGCAGCAGCAGCAGCTGGAGCCGCAGGAGCAGCAGCAGCAGCAGCAGCAGCAGCAGCGGGATCCGCAGGAGCAGCAGTCCCAGCAGCAGCCGCTTCCGCAGCAGCAGCAGTCGCAGCAGCAGCAGCAGCAGCCACTTCCTCCTCCTGTCTCGGGTCTTCGGACCCTTGGTCTCCCCTCCCCTTCTCCTCCCTCCTCCGCCTCTCCTCCTGTCTACGGTCCCACGTTTCCTCCTCCTGACTCCTCCCCCGCTGTTTTTCCCAGTTCTCCGCCTTTGTCCTCTCCTCCTCCGTCTCGTTCTTGGGCTACTCGTCGCTCCCCTCGTGCTCGTCCCTCGTCTCCTGTTCCCTTCACTGACCTTCGTACTGCCTTCCTTCTTTCTAGTCCACCTCGTCCGTCTCAGTCTGTACTTCCGTCTCCTCCTGAGTCGGCCCTCACTGTGTCGCTCCCTACTCCTGTCACTGACTACTACCGCACGTACCGTCCTGTTCTCTCTCGTGTTCTCGCCTCTCTTGTTACTCACCCTCGTGCCTCTGTGTCCTCTGTGTCCGCTCTTACTGCCGCAGTTACTGACTTTGCCTCTACCCGCCGCCTTGACTACGCCACCACGCTTGTGGCTGCTCCTCCTACCAGTCCTCTGGCCGTCGGGGGTGTGTCTGCCCTTGGCTGTGACGCCCTAGAGGACAGGCAGTTTGAGCTAGAGTTCCTGGCGGCCGCTTCCCCTCATCTCTGTGCCATGCTCCTCGCCCCTGAGGGTGACCCCGACGCCCTTGACATTCCGACTCCTCGCACTTACGCTGAGGCAGTGTCAGGGCCTTGGGCCTCTCAATGGAGAGCTGCCATAGACGCAGAGATGGCCTCCTACAGATCCACAGGCACCTACGTCGATGAGGTTCCCCCCCCTGGGGCGAACGTAGTCGACGGCATGTGGATCTACAGGGTGAAGCGGCCGCCGGGATCTCCCCCGGTCTTCAAGGCGCGCTACGTGGCTAGAGGTTTCAGTCAGCGCGAGGGAGTTGACTTCTTTCAGACCTTCACACCTACCCCGAAGATGACCACTCTTCGGGTGTTACTACACGTAGCAGCACAGAGAGACTACGAGTTACACTCTCTCGACTTCTCCACTGCTTTCCTTCAGGGCAGCCTACACGAGGAGGTCTGGTTGCGTCGTCCCTCGGCCTTCACTGGCACCTTCCCTCCTGGGACCCAGTGGAGGCTGAGGCGACCTGTTTACGGTCTTCGCCAGGCCCCTCGTGAGTGGCACGACACTCCGCGTTCTACCCTCTCTGACCTTGGGTTCCAGCCGTCTTCTGCCGACCCGTCGCTGTTCGTTCCTCGTGGCTCCACGCCGTTCTTTGTTCTGGTTTACGTCGACGACCTCGTTTTCGCCACTCCGGACAGGGTTGCTTTGGCAGACGTGAAGTCCGAACTGCAGAAGAGACACACCTGCACTGATCTTGGTGAGCTGCGCCACTACCTTGGCCTGCAGATCACCAGGGACAGAGCCGCTCGCACCATTACACTCTCACAGTCACACATGGTGCAGCAGGTCCTTCAGCGGTTCGGGCTTCAGCACTCCACCGTACAGCGCACACCTCTCGATGTTGACCACAGACTCACTGGTCCCTTTCCTGACGAGCCGTTTGAGCCTAGTGGTCCCTACGCAGAGCTTGTGGGTTGCCTCATGTACCTGATGACTTGTACTCGCCCGGACCTCGCCTTCCCTCTCAGCATCCTTGCGCGCTTTGTTGCGCCAGGGAGACACCGTCCTGTTCACTAGACGGCAGCTGTGAGGGTGGCGAAGTACCTAGCGACTACATCAGGCGTGGGGCTAGTTCTTGGAGGGCAGCAGTCTGTCGTACTCACTGGTCACTGTGACTCCTCTTACGCTGACGACGCTGAGACTCACAGGTCTACTCAGGGGTACTGTTTCAGTCTGGGTTCTGGAGCTGTTTCCTGGCGTTCCACGCGCTCCTCTTCTGTCTCGACCTCTACAGCTGAGGCTGAGATTTACGCTGGTGCCATGGCGGCACAGGAGTTGCGTTGGTTGACCTTCTTGCTCGCCGACCTTGGTGAGCGGCCGAGCTCTGCACCGACCTTGTTCACTGACAACAAGGCGTCGATCCTCCTCTGTCGTGAGCCGCGACTGGAGAGCAGAGTGAAGCACATTCACGTCAGGTACTTTCTTCTGCGAGAGTTGCAGAGACGTGGACAGGCTCGCTTCGAGTTTGTGGAGTCCGAGGCCAACACTGCAGACATCTTCACCAAGGCGCTTCCGCCTCGTGACCACCAGAGGTGTTGTGTGCAGTTAGGCCTTGTTGATACAGGTTCTAGTCATGTGTAGGCTTGAGTTTATTGCCTGCTTCGTCTGTACTCTTGCTATATATACTTGTGATCTCTTGGACTGGCCTTGTGGCCACTGTTGCTTGTGCTCAGAGAGTGTGGTGACGTTGTGATCCACCCTGAGCTTTGTTTTCTTTTGGACTGGTCTTGTGACCGTACTCTTTTTTATTTTGCTAGACACCCCTCACTTAGGCTATGGGGGTGTGTCAAATGTTGTAGCCTGTAGTGAGGTTTGTCTTAGGGGGTACAGAAGTTAGGGTTTGTTATATGTACCCCAACCAACATCAATGGCATCATCATTCCTCATTTTGATAGAGGGGGGGGGTAAGTGGAGAGGGAGAAGTGGAGGGGAGGGCAAGTGGAGAGGGAGGGAGGTGTTGGAAAGGAGGTGGAGAACGGGGATTGGAGCAGAAGGGATGGAAGGAAAGGGGAGGGGGAAGGGAAGAGAGCTCACATTGTGTGTAGGGATGTGAGGTCGAAGAGGGAAGGCGGCAAGGTGCCAGTCAGCTTTGCATCCTCGAGAAAGCTGGTAGAAGGGGGAAGGGGAGGTGGGAGAAAGAGAGATGGGAGAGTGGGGTTGAGAGAAGCGAAAAAGAGAGATGGGAGAGTGGGGTTGAAAGGAGGAAGACAAGAGGAGGAGCAAGAGGGAGAGAGGAGATGAGAGAGCATGCCAACAGGGTACCTGCCACCACCCCATGCCGCCCGCCCATGACCTTTGCGTCAACAGTCTACTCCAAGTCCTAGCAGCTGCAATCACTGCACGCAGGACCTAACCTCACAATGACACTCACAGTCTGGTAACCACATCGTAACCGCCACCGCTCTCACCTGTCGCCAGCCCAGCCCATGATTCGACCCATACATCACTAGCAGCTGCACGCACAGCTGCACTAAGAGCCTACCCTCACAGTGACACTCACAGTTCGGTAACCACGTCGTAACTGCCACCGCCAGCAGAACACCTGACACCATCCCATGGCGCCCCACAAGGGTCGCCACCCGTCCACGTGTTGAAGGGCGCTTGATTGGGATTCCCCATGCTGGCAATCTGCTGTAGAATGGCCACTGCGTGTGGATGAAGGGATAGCAGTGGATGAGGGGAAGGAATGGAACCTCAGGGTGATAGTGTAACGCCTGTGGGCTGTGTTAAGGGCACTCCGCTGCGCCAAATAACACCCTCGTTTTGGCCCGGTGGGTAGCGAGGTGTTATAGATAGATAGGGGTGAGTGGCACGGGTTTCACCCGTCCGCGTGTTGAACGGCCCTTCGTTGGCATTCCCCATGCCCGCAATCTGCTGTAGAATGGCCACTGCGTGTGGATGAAGGGATGGCAGTGGAATGAAGAAATGGAACCTCAGGATGATTTGTAAAGTTGGGTGTCACGGGTTTTGCCTGTCCACGAGTTGAAGAGCGCGTTGTTTTCATTCCCCATGCCCGCAATCTGCTGTAGAATGGCCACTATAGGGGTGAGAGTGATGGCAGTGGATGCATAGGGATTACCGGAGGGAGCATAGGGATTGCCGAGAAGAGCATAGGGATTGCCGAGAAGAGAAGAGCATAGGGATTGCCGCCCGGAGTAAAGGGATTTCCGAAAAACAGCAGCTGCGGAGAAGTGGCAAGAAAACCGATGAATGGGGAGCTAAACAGGGGTTTCAGAAGAAAAAGCGCGAGCTTCACGGTTAAGCCCTTGGCGCGAAGTCGCGCGCTACTTTCTGAATTCCCAGTCATAACATCCGTGCCCTAAACCACTGGAGCAGAACGGGGGTTATTTCAGAGGTCGTCAATTAAATTCTCAAAAACGACCTGCAAGGCACTATGCTCTCTTAGAGGACACTCTCCTCTACAATGGCAAAATTCTTTTGTTAACCTCCAGTCACCACTCCGTCATAAAAAAACGAGCCAGGATTATGTCAACGAGAGGGGGATCTCCCTACCTTGAGCAGGGTCCGTGGCCGCGAAAGAGACCCTCGGAGGTATGCTAACGAGAAGCGCGGCGACTAATAACGCTGACATTGACGCCACGGAACGACGCGGCGCGTTCCAACCCATTTCGAGATCTCCGCGCAATAGGAGACGAATCGAAAGGGATTGACGTGAAAGCGAGAGCGGACGGTGTTTCTATTGCAAGTGACTTTGGAGTCGCTGGAAAATCTCCGCAGAACAGGAACAGAAACAAGATGTTTCACGCGAACGCGTGAGCGGACGATGGGCCTAGTATGTGAAGTGCTTCGACGGCAGAACCGATGCCACTCTCGCTGCTAAGCCGTGCAAACTCCCACAGGCACCTACCCCAAGTCGAGACTCTCAACCCAACACACACCTGACCTGACTTTCTGCTGAGACCTGGGTGATAGTTGTCGTGAGTCCCCGTATGACGCACGATTCGCCACGCCACTCACCAAACCGTCACGTCAGGTTGGGATCAGATGGGCAAATTAGGGCGTGTAATTTGTCCGTTTGGACGGCCCACCATCCAGATTTGATTTAGGTTACCAGCTTTAACAAAATCTATCAACGAATAAAATACAAAGCGAAAATTGACGACATCAGTAACCCTACAAAAGTCCGAACGATGGGCCGTCCATACGGGCAGAATTGTAAAACGTTACACGCCCTAATAAATATGAATTTGCCTGACCTTTCGAGGGCTAGCTAGCGCAGGCAGCCCATCACCTCGCGCGCGCGCACGTCCCTCAGGAAGCGTCATAAGAGTTCATCTATTTACAGTGAGATGTGGTTCTGTGCGATGGAGAGCGTTTCGGCTTTTGTCTTTCCCACCACCTCCCCCCTTGGTGTTTGGGACCGTGCGGTGTGCGCCGCAAAAGGCCGTAGCACACGTCGTTTCGGGCTCAGGTCCGACTTCCGCACCTCTCGAAAAGATTTTTCCTAGGCTTGGCAGCGAACCAGTCAATCAAGGCTGGATGCCAGTCAATCAGCCGTGCCGCTCTTAACCCTCCTCAATCAGTTTGTATCAAACCACATTTCGGTTCAGCCAAGCAGCACCGAGTGCTGCTTCCGTGCCTAGCCCATTCAACGTCAGTGAGGGCGTGTAACATCGCCAAGCCAATAGATTCGGCCACTTGCCAAATGGCCGAGTTAGCGAAAGTAACCCGCATGCGAAATGAGCGACTGTTATGAGCTGTAAAAGAGAGTGAGCAGGTAAACGAATAACGAAACTGTGATTGAACGAACTGAGAATACAATGAAGGCACAGACTAATGTCGGAGCAAGCCTAACTAGGAGGGAACCTCGGACGAGCGAGGTTGGGTGCAGGTTTGGCGATGGGAAATGCCGAAGGCGACGCGAGGAGCCTTGGCAGCGTTGAAATCAGCCGAACGTGCTAAGTCTGAAAATCAAGGCTGTACGCGAAGCAGTCAACTCCGATAAGGAATTCGAGAAAATTCCTTACGCTACCCCCCCCCCTTAAGAAAGGTGGTCAATATCCGAAACGCGCCTGCGCGCCAAGTAATCACGAACAAGTGATGAGGCGTCCAGCGAGGCGGAGTGCACCCACGTGTCGTCTGTTGGGAACAAATAGTATTAAGCGCCTCTGTCGTGTCGAAACTCAAGACACAAGCGAAGCAGCTCAAATCGAAGCACCGCGAGTCAACCCTCGGAGATTAACGTAGCCGCTGGAGGTTACGAGAAAGTCAAAAGGTCAGCGACCTTTGACCTGACGCAGCGGGACAGCAAGGACACACAACTGACTCGACATTGAGCAGTTGCCCGAGTCGCACTGTATCGAACCGCAACAGTAAAACAGTTACAATTATGTCTCTTCATATTCTCTGTACTCATATATATATTCCTGTATCTCTTTGCTTTGATTAACTTACTTTGCCCTCACGTACTAGCGCAAGGCGGTTCAATGACCTTATTCAAACGCTTCCGCTACTACATCATTTACTCAGGCTTTAACTCTACTAAAGATCCTAGGGCGTTCAGCCCAACATGGTATGAGAGCAGGTTAGAGTTAAATTTTTCTCTTCAACACTTAATACATCAAGAAGACATGTCTACTAGAAAGGAGAGGAGCTCCTCCAACGGCTCTCCCGGTACTACCCCTACTCCACCTCCTGCCTCTGGCCTACTGACAGAGGAAGGGACAACAACTAGACCAGCAGCTAGGTCTACGGAAACACCCGCAAACCAAGGCGCGGGCTTCGATCCAAGTATGATGGAGAAATTCTTCTCCTTCATGTCCTTCTACGAGCAGCATCAGCAAGGAGTACCTGCGCAATCAAACAACAGCAACAACAACAACAACGAGACGCCCATGAGTCTCGATGGCTCATCCTACGCACGCGGGAATCAACATCAACAACCTACCTTCGCTCCGTACGAGCCCCACCGCGGCTCCGTCAGCTTCATGCCGCAACCACAACCTGCACCGGGACAAGAAAGAGCACTGGACGCACTACAAGTTCAGTCGCAATTCGCGCATGTTCTGAAACTACAAACGACAAAACCTTTCGACGGGAAGGATTTCTTTACCTGGTCGTTCGAATTCGAGCTAATGATGGAAGGAGCGCAGATCCTTGGCTTCTTCGACGGGTCCCTGCCATATCCAACAAACGGCACGCAGTATGAGAAGCAGCAGTACACCTATCAATCGATGATGGCGTACACAATACTACTGAGGAACATCACCCCGACTCAACAGCAGAACATAAGGACTTACCGAGGTTACGGTAACTCCGCGGAGCTCGCGTACAACCACTTGAAGAACCTGTATCAAGCAACAGATAGCGTAAACCAAAGCCGGTTAATGGCGCAGCTGACAACAATCGAAATGAAACCAGGCGAGAAGGGCATGGCATATATCAGTCACTGCCGCAAACTGCGCGACAAGCTTCTTCGATGTGGAGGATCGATTTCAGAAGACGCCTTTGTCACGGTTGTCATCGGTGGTCTTGGCCCTCACTGGCGCTCCACTCGCGCCATATTACGGGCACACGGGAGAATCTCCGAAGCAGCACTCTGCGCCGAAATCCATGCTGAACAGCAGGACATGGACCTGCAAGAAGAACGACATAAGAAGAAAACATCAGTACCAGAGTTCGCGTTTCACACCCAGCGACGCTACAACAACAACAATCGGCAGCAACAACAATTGAAGCCAGTACCTCCGTTTTGCCATATCTGCAAGACTTCAGGGCATCCTCGTACGCACTGCCCGTATCGCCAGCAATCAACAACACCACAGCGACAACTTCGGCCTTCAAGCTCCCAAGTCACTTCAACGCAAGCAACTCCCACGACAAAGATTCAAACCTCAACGAATCCAATAGGACAACCTGCACAGAAGCAAGAAACATCGTCAACTGCATGGCAAAGACAACAGATTCCTGCATCACTGAATCACCGCCGCACTACTCACCAGAAGAACGACTTGACGAAACCACACCTCGCCGCGAGTCACTTCAGCCGAACCCGACATACGCCGCCATCGCTCAAACCGAGCCATCCGGAAGAGACACTTGGTTCTTGGACAGTTGTTGCGGACAACACATGTGCTCCTCAGGACGTTTTGTTCAACGCGAGCACCGACTTCAACGAGAAGTCGTCATCACCGTCGCCAATAATCAGAACCTGCGAACAAGACGACAAGGCATAGTACAGCTTCAGTCACGGGAGACGAACGTCGTATTACAAATGTCGAAAGTCCTAATAGCAGAGGGACTCGGCTACAACTTACTGAGCGTCAGTCAGCTGATGGCGAAAGGCATACACCTGGAAGCCGACAGCACCACCCAGGAGTTCAAACTGTACCACGGGAAGGGTGGCCTCTACATCGGAAAGGCAGTTCTGAAGAATAACGTCTTTGTCCTTGACTTCGTCCCAGACCTGGGCACCGCAGACAGCGACGCCATCGTGAACTTCGCCGACTGGACGCACCCTCCAGACCTTGATCCAGACTTCAGCCCGGAAGGCTTCTGGTACTCGCATACCATCCCTGAAGCAGAACGAACACGCGCGTTAGCAACAATTCAACATCCAGCAGCAGCAGAGACAACATCGGCAGCAGTAGAAGTAGCAGAGACAACATCGACAGCAGCAGAAGCA